TTTGTTTATATATGTATTCTAATCATCGTTTGCATATGATAGAACAACCAAGTTAGCAGTATTGACAACAGGAATATTGATATGCGTAAAAATGTCAAATTGGATTGATAAAGGTGTGAATCTTCATCGTAAAACGCAGTCGGGGTATATGTTATACATCATATCCTGCCACTGCATATCGCCCTATGCTGGGTGACATAAAAGTAGGTTAGAATAGGTTGAAAAGTGTCCAAAAAATTATATTGCTTCAGTACATGAAGTGGTTCATTGATACCTTGATCTGTGTTAGAAAATATAGACTTCCTGGTTATGGAGTTTGAGGTCGTAATAATGTACGATTGAAAGATTTAAGTAATATATTTCAAAATAAATCTTATAAACACAGTTGGATTCATTCTCTACTTTCCTTTTAACCTTTAGCTTAATTTCACTTCATAGTCTTCATTCTTCAGCTCTACTTGTTCCTTTCGACTTATAAATTCCACGTTTTACTTTCAACTCCAGTTAACATGATTATTTCCTCTCTGTTTTTTATCTTGTTAACATCCTCTGTCGTCATGCCAATAGGAAGTGTGAGACTTGCATCATTCCACATTCACCTCAGGCCCTAAAATATCTATTACTGGCCGTTTCACTATAAATTTGATCAAAATGTCCTTAATCTAGGGCTTAATATGTTTATTTAGCCTCGTAGAATCTTCTAAGTGAGCTTAATTAGTGTATCTTAATAGTGGTTTTAAATCCATTTTAAGTTTGTTTGTTTAGATGTTCGCAGTTCAACACATTTATGTAATTCTGTAATGTCCAAAGTGTGTTAAATAGAGTAAAGCATGTAGTCGTCTATCGACTAGTGAAAAGTCCTATTTAATATTGGCTACAGATTACTTTGTATATTAACCGAAACATTCCCAAACGTCCATTTGGCTTATACAGAATACTCAGTAGCATTACTTACTTTTACAGTTAATGGAGTAGCTTTAGGGAACAGCGAGATTTGATTAATTTCGTTACACTATAACTAGTCCTGTGTTACTGCTGATAAACTAATCAGCTGTTTAAATTCATAAGACATCTTTACACTCTCACTACCAAGGTTCTTAAAACAAAATACCTTTGTGTCGTTTCAGAGTTGAGTATAAAATATTTTAATAGTGCATATCTCAGTGTGTATCTTATCTTTCCAATACATATCTTCCATTTCTTGAATTAACATTTCTTTACCAAATATAGCACAAATAACCTGTTAGTATGATGTACATTATTGTCATCATAGAACATTCATGCACTATTGAAGATTGTAACATTTCTTATCTCAAATAGGCGTCGCTAGTGACCATTAAACTCAGCTTTAAACGTATGTGATATATCCCTATTGTACAAAATTATTTTTAATTAGCATCATGAATTTGTGTTATTGGATAGTCTTGCAACAAGGCATTGCAAAATAAAGTGTTTACTTATTACTCACATTACTAAGTATTTATATACTAAATAGTTGCGTCAAATAATTCATCCATACTTCAATGTTCACAAGATTTTTCGAACCTAACTCGTATTTTTGTTAGCAGCATCAGCTGAGATAAAAATGTACCATATAACTAGGATTTTTGTGAACTGATCAAAACTCTCATTTTACGATCGACGCTATAAGGAAGAAAAATAGGATAGGCGGACATATATATATCACGAAAAACATAAAAAGCGTACTTCAATTTATGTGATTGGAAGCTGGATCAAATTACCTTGGGCATGCATATAACCATGCTAGAATGTGGACATAATTGTATGTGTTTCTAATCTATTAAATTCTCTTTTGTTTATCATACACCTTACTAATGTAAAATACATATGCCTAATTAACATATTAATGATAGTAACGACGTTATGTTTAACATTGAAATGTTTGCGGAATAGTGTTGATTGAATAGTGTACGTTCTAAACATCGGAGACTAACTCATTACAAATTCGAAAAAAGACTTTTCAGATGTTTCTGTTTCTATGTCACTTTCAGAATTTAATTAATCTATTTCCATCGGTATGGTGGGTTTTTGAATATATGTCTTTATGCTGCTCACATTTACGGCTTTACTGAACCCCATACTTGACAATATTCACATCACGGTTTGTTTAGGATACTACCAGGTGGATATCATGCTATTCTAGTGTAAGCTATATGGCTATGTAGAGCTGAAGGTCTCATATGAGGCTGGAGGTTCGCCATTGGTATTGTGGATGGTTCGGCATTGCTTTGGCAAGTTTTGCTGACTGTTCATGCACAAAATTGGTTTGACGGTTAACCGATTTCATTCATACTGGTGGTTGCTTTTCAGTGTTCTCGAGGGCCATTGTCATTGGGACATTGTATGACATGTCGCTATTGCTAACATTAATGAGTTTGACTGTCGTATAAGCGGAAGAGGTTAACTTTGGCCTGTTCGTGCCGTGAATAATTGATTCACGCGATTAATGATTGGAATAACTATACATGTGATGTGAATGTGTATATGAATGGTGCGAATGGTCTACCAGGGTGCTTGGTACCTGTGTGGTTGCGCCACAGGATTGAGCCGTACTATTCAGATTGTAGCGTTAAGGCCTATACAGTGTCTGGCTCTCCTGTTAAATGGGCTTGAACTGTACTATTTGGGTTGCCACGTGAAAGTCTGGACAGTGTCTAGTTCTCCTGAAAACCAATGTCAAATTACCCTGGCCCATAAGGGTATATTATATAACTGTGAATATATTATATAACTAGTGTAAATGTTTCTACTGTGACTCGAGTTCAATACTCATTACTGAAAAAGGTAAACATTTCAACTAATTATATATATACTAAAATTAACTATCGCAAAATGCAATGCTTCATCCTTTCTTTTTAGTTTGTTTAAATATGTTCAACATGTTTGCATGAATAATTGAGAATACAATAATGTTCATGCTACAACATATATTATCTACTTTCTTATGCTCGAGTTTCCTTCTGATATCATTTCAATTTCAAATGATCCTTTTATTAAACGACACCTCATAAGCCGATTACAGTCATCATTAACTTCTTACTTCATGATTCATTCCATAGAGACTTAATAAGAAGGAGTTTATGAATTGTGATGCCTAATGATTTCGTTCCATAAAATATTTCCTATTAAATGAATTTGATGAATAAATAATTTCAGTAATTAAAATTCTTGGGTTCCTGCGTTGGCAGTAAGCACTACTGAAGAGCTTGTAAATAGGATTAAACTGTTGTCTAGTGCTCTATGCAACATTATGGCTTTTCAACTGCATAAAAACTGTTCGAAAAATAACATAATATCTACGTAGCTGTTTTTTTTCTTGTATCCAAATGCTAAACAGCCAGTGTTTCTTTCCATGTTATCGACTTGGATCCACCGAATAGACTTTGAAAGGCTGTAAAAACATTCCAGTAAATAAACAATCCTAAAATAATAATCTACAATTTGATGAAATCTCTATGTAGTAAAATCTAAGTAAAATTTATTATTTGATAAGTTCATTGATCAATAAAGAAAGAAAACTTTTTGTTTAATCACAAACAGTAATGCATTATTTGTACTAAATTCACTGGGATACAGTGACATGAATACATCATTCATAATAATTTCGTCACTTATATAATATAAATAATTTAGTAAAGACTAATTTATCAGACTTAATATATCCTAGTTGAAAAGAACTAGTGATTTCGACCATAAGCCACTTGGTTTAACAAAGTTCAAATCTATGATTCGATAATTGTAAGTCAAGAAATTGAACAATTGAGCTATTGTTCTACCATTCTGTTTATACTACAACAGATAAAAAACAATACATATTATAAATTAACAGTTGATTGTTCAAACTAATAATGAAATTTAACTGGGAAACAGTGACTTACAAAAAGTAAACAAGTAATGTAAGAGGGGTCATGTGTTAATAAATACAAGAACATAGATCAACAAGTGGCTAGGAAAATGTTTTATTCTTATGCAGCAAAGTAATATGCACTAGCTTTTATATTGAAACTGAACAGAACAAACATATATATTAAGTATTGTAAATATAAGAGACCGTAGGACAAGGTTCGTTGTGTAAATTTTTCATCAACTTATAGACTAATTTATCTGACTACAAAGTTCATTTTCTCATTTTGAATATCAGTTCCATTTCAAAAAATAACATCTTTCTTTTCCAAATCATAAATTTGGTGTTATTATACTATAAAATTGAAAAAAATACAAACAAATATCAAATGAAGAGTTGCTCAAGATCATGGGTTGATTAAAGTCAGACATTAACATCGTTGGATGCTTCCTCAGTGGTCTAGAGGTAAACGTTCGCGTGCAAGATCAAAGATCCTGGTTTCGAGTCCCGCATGCGGGATAGCGGATGCGCACTGCTATAGAGTTCCATACTAAAAGCAGACGGCCGTTCAGTGTTCCCAGGTTTTCAGTGGTGGTCTAGCTTACATCGACTCATGAATTCAACTATTAAAATATCAAGTAAACAATCCGTAAAAATTTGAATGAAGTTAACGAATACGGAAACCTTTTTTAATAAAAATACTACATCGGAATTCCTGATTCAAGGAGAAAAATAATTACATATTCGTTAATTGTCCTGATAACTTTCCCATTGATTATTTTGTTACGATAAATATCTATTCTGTAATAATCAGCGTTGAATATTTTACATATTCTCAAGTCATTAAAATTCTCTTTAATCCTAAAATCCACACTCTCTTATCTCAATATAATTGGGTAGTGTAGTAACATGTTGTTTTAACCGGATATTTAATAATCGTTTTCTAAAGTGTTGTATTTATCTGTCACATACTTTTACCATCCTCAGGTTATAGTTTATCCTTTATTTATTATTCAAGAGTAATGATTGGTTGTCCAAGTTTATTTGTACGTTAACTTGAGTTATTATAATCGCTACTTTTTGTTTCTAATCAAGTACCCTTTTCATTCATTCTAACTTTTTCATTCTTTTCAAGCAGTAAATACTAATGGAAACAGAAGGATTGGAAAACGAATTAATTCAATCAATTCGACCTAGTTTAAATGAATTATTACGAATATGGGATTATGTGGGTGAGATATGTTGTTGTCTTTGTAATTTCCTGAAATTCGTTTTTGCATTATTTTTCTTATCGAATATTATAAAACAAGAATTTTTTACTTCCTCTGAAAGACGTGTGTTTTAAAGAAGTAACTCTATTCATATTTAAAAACTTTATGTTAAATGTGTTTTTTTCTCCATTTTTTACTTTAATATTTCTGCGCGTCGATAAGATTGTGTGGGTTGATTGGAATTCTCATTTCTCCTTGAGAAAAGTAAAGATTAAACTCAATGTAGGGACAAATGCTTTCAATTATGAAATCTGTAGAGAAATAAGATGTATGCAAAACATCTATATAATTGTGGGTTAAACTATTGCGTCAATAACAGGGTAGAGACTATTTGTTATGAGACATACAACTGTAATAGAGCTCTTGCTTCAACAGACCGAAAGTATAAATATCTGCAGTATCTATTCAATACCGAAATTCCCAAATGTCTTGATTTAATTTTCTTTATGCCAAGTATATAGTCAAATTATGGCACGAGTGCACATGTTTAACATTTTACCTACATATTTCTGATATAAAATTAGGTAGTTGATTAATTACATCAACTGAATTTTACTTTATGAATAATCTCGGTTTTTCTTCTCTTAGTCCACATCATCCATCTGAGTTCTAAAAATCCTTAGTTAAATCTAATTTTTCATGTTGTCCATTCTCTATCATTGAACCATTTATCAGGCACTGATCTTGGAAAAATAAATTAAGATTTTAACACGTATAGTATTTTATTTTTCTCTGTTTAATGATTACTGTATGCAGTTGATGGAATTCTACTAAATGAAATTTGTACTTCAGATAAATTTATTAAGACAACAAAATGTATAAACCTTAAATTTGAACTGTCATTTTTGTTATTGGTACTCTAGCAATATTTAATCTTCCCTTTTTGAGAACTTAACTAGTGGTGTAGTGAAAGAAAACTGAGATACGATAAACTCATTTCTTGTTTCATTTGAAAATCACATAGTGCTTTTGTAAAATATGAAAATCATACATTAAATACATCATTTGCACATCTTCCTTGAGTTTCCCTTTAAATACTTCATCATTCTTCCAACTCTGTTGTTATTCTGATTACTCTCTCTTTTTCTTACTTCAATCTTGTGCTGGTAAGTATTCCACTTCCGATTCCTGCTACATACTACTAATATCTGTCCTCACCACAGTAGTGTTCACTTCACATAATATCATTTTCAGTACATTATTCTATATTGAAGTATATAAAGTAATATATACACATGGATTAATGTTATTTCTTGATAATCAATACCAAGTAAGTAGGTTTTTCAACCAATGGTATACTTTTGAAGTAAGTCTATGAATATTAGTAGATAAATTGTAATCAATCTCATTCTTACATCCTATCAATCAATAAATTTATTGCGGCCATTCAACCAAATGACATGACATTAAAAACTTCTTTATTGTTATTGAAGATGTTATTCAGTGACTTGTTATGATCTCCTACCAGGAGGTCCACTTATTGACTTAGAATACGCAGATGACATAGTCCTGTTTGGTGAAGACGCTGATGAAATGCAGAGTCTTTTGGTAGCACTGAGCAACAATGCTAGAATGTTTGGGATGCGCTTTTCTCCCTCTAAATGCAAGTTGTTGCTTCAGGACTGGTCTGCATCAACACCTGAACTAAGGATAGGGGGTGAAGTAGTCGAACGCGTTGACAACTTCACTTATCTTGGAAGTCTGATCAGCCCTAATGGGTTGTTGTCTGACGAAATCTCAGCACGGATTCGAAAAGCTCGTTTGGCCTTTGCCAACTAACGTCATCTATGGCGAAGGTGAGATATCCGTCTATCAATTAAGGGACGAGTATACTGCGCGGCAGTTCGTTCCGTCCTTCTATACGGCTGCGAAACATGGCCTTTAAGAGTGGAAGATATTCGTAAGTTACTAGTATTTGACCACAGATGCCTTAGAAATATTGCGGGTATCTGCTGGGATCACCGGGTAAGTAATAGTGAGGTTAGACGCAGGGTATTAGGGAATGATGGTAAATCAGTTGATGAGGTTATGAATCGTCATCGACTGAGATGGTTGTGCCACGTGTTGCGTATGCCTGAACACCGATTACCACGGCGCGCAATGCTAACCGGTGTTAGGGATGATTGGAAGAAAGTTAGGGGCGGCCAAACCAAAACGTGGCATCAGTGCTTGAAGTCACTAACTTCTGGTCTGAGCCATGTTGGGAGATTCAGACTGCCTGGTTGGGGTCCGCGTGACTATCGTAACCAATGGTTGGAGACTCTTGGTGACATGGCTCAGAATCGATCACAATGGCGTCGGTGTATACACTCTCTGTCTTCCTTAAATTAAGAGATTAAAATCGCTTCATATCTGTCTAGGAACTAATTCTTTCTTCCTTTACTATCTCCTTATACACAATCTTTCTTCTATATATTACCACCACTGAATTAACTACTCCTATGAATCCGGTGTTCATCTTGTTGTGCTAATGCGGTATGGCAACTTGGACCGATGCATATACGTGCCTGGTCCTACGTTGCAGCTGACTGACTGACTGACTGACTGACTTGGACTTAAGTTTTTTACTATTTAGTGTACTTTAGGTAAGAGAACATCTGCATTCTTTTCTGCATTTAAAGTGTTACACTCCTTCATACATCGCACAAGATCTTAATCAAATATTCACTGATATTTTTCTTGAGTAGTTTGTATGAACTTTATGTATATATATATCAAAATACATTTATGTAATCTATTTCATAATTGAATCGCTCTATATTTAATCGATTGATTGGAATTCGAAGCCCTGTTTTCAAACAATTCATATTAACCAGCTAGTCAGTATCACAACCTTGACTCAAAGTTGAGCATATAAACTTGTGCATGGTGAGAGGATTCTATTGATTTACAATATTCCAGGACATAAAGGTATCTTATATTCAGTGGTTAACTTACTTCAATCTTGTATCAGGACTCTTGGATTATAGTGCCATTTTATCTTGTGAAATATATATATATATATATATATATATATATATATATATCTTGTAATAGTGTTTTTAGTATTAGTTATTATTATTATTTTAAAAAATTCATCACCAAGGTTATAATAAATTGGAACGTTCACAACGTCTTAAACAATTTGTTCAAAAACTTGAAACTGTTCTATGCGAAGTAATTAAAGAAGAGAATTCTGCACGTCTTATAATGGAGCAAAAAATTGAATTAAGACGTAGAGAAATCGCTGATATGTGTCAACAATTAGGTTTGGCACCATTCCTACCTGAACGTGGACTTACCTCCAGTGAATTAATGAGAGTACGTATGTTGATCTTTTCTTTCATCCTGTATTATTTTGTTCTCAAATTTCTTTATTAATATGAGGGACTTTTCTTACAGTTTGATTTAATAATCGTCTTGAACTTCAAGCAGAAGCTGGATTTCATTCTTCTATGGCTCAAATAGATTTTAAGTAAATCGAACGGACACTGTTCGTTTTTGTAAAAAAGTATCCCGAATTCTATGCACTAGATTACATTTAAATTGGTAATATTGTTTTCCTGTATCATACAATTTAGTGAAGATATGTGGAAGGAAACACCTTTTACCATAGAATTTACAAATTTTTAATGTAGTGTTTCATACCAAAAATAAAATTGATAGATTTTACAATTAATTTTTTGTTCCATAAAATTTGAATATGTTGGATTAATTTTCTTCAATAAGGTTATTAACAGATAATACCATAAGATACATGAAGAGGACAATAACTGCCTTGATAAAATAATTGTCGTTTGTATTTCCTTAACAAGAAAAACAAATAGTTTTCTTGAAAATCTAGTGAAAAATACTTTGTATTTTAAAAGCATGCTTACTAGGTTTACGTTTTAATAACACTTAACATTCTATGAAGCGTAGGGATATGTCTATCTGACGAATGGTTGTATTTTAGGTCGATATTCAAGTTAAAATAAGTAAGGTAGTAACTAATCGATAATAGTGAATGAAAATTGTTGTATATCATCATGTATGAAGTTAAATCATCGGATGCCGACTTAATAATCCCGTGTTTGGCCTATGAACTTGAGAAAAATTTTGATTTTCATCTCATATGGACTGAAGAGCGTTCTTTGGAAAGGTTCCTTTTTATGGGATTGAGTTGCTAACTCTGTGCTCAACTCCCCTTTATCCGGGCTTGGGATCGGCAGTAACATTAGAACTCCAGGTGAAGGTACAGGTGTTTACAATCAAATTTCTGTGAGAGATATTCCACATCTGTTAGCTGGATTCTATCAGCAATAACCTACTGTGGGAGAGGACGAAGCAGCTTCTAGCTGAAGAGGAAAAGATGCTGGAGGTGGATAGGACATAGATTGCGAAAATCCTCAGATTTCTTCACTAAGAAAGCCCTAACCTGGGATCCTAAAGACAAAAGAAAAATACAGAACACAGGACACAGTGCTATAGGAAACGGAAGCAGACATCAAAAGAATGAACAGCTATTGGGAGAAACTGGAAAGAAGAGCCCAGGACAAAGTTGGTTAGAGAATCCTGGTGGGCATCTGATGTTCCACGAGGGGTAACAGATGTATGTGAAGTAAGTGATGAAGTGATCATTGCGTACATTGCGTAGGGCTTTAAAACTACTATATAGGTAGGTCTTGAGTGCTCAACTGTTTTCAGTGTTCCTCCAAATGATATCCATTCATGATGGGAATTACCTCTGAATTACACAAATTCTCTACAAAATCACTGAACTAGTGATATCAACACAAAATCTAATGATAACCTTAGTATTTAACAATTGAATTCATGAATCAATATTCATTAACAATTATTATAATATAATGCCGTTTAAATTGGATTTGATTAAACCTCTATGTTTTGTATGTGTTTAGATGTAATTTTATTTTTTATTGTATGTTTGTACTTTGCAGTATTTTAGCCTGTTTGTTTTCTTAGCAAGCTACATGTATTATATACACATATATGGTTGAATATCAGAAATTATCTTCACCAATTGATTTTCACTGTTTTAACACCTTTTCATCGTTAGAAGTCGATGATATTTATTAAGTTGGTTATTCGGACAACATTGCAGTTTTGTATAATGGTGGTTGGAGGTAGTCAACAAGAAACCCTGGACCCTGGACTGTGAAGCTGGGTGATACGTGATCGAACCTGTCAGGGAGCACCAGTTCCCCCAAGAGTACATGTACACCATGATGACGAGTGCCAAGTAGCACGAAGCCCGTGTCCAGGGTTTCCTGTTGACTACCTCCAACCACCATCTGATCTCAACATAGTGCACGCAGTGTCGAGTCACCTAGACTGGTGACCACATTGCAACCTGGTCGATGGCATTCGATATGCACTAAGAAGGACTTGATACACTTGACATTGATCACCACCCAGTGATCAATCAATTGTGATTATAGTTGTTTTGTATTTGACATTATCTAAATAGATAGCATTTATCATAAGTTAAAGGTCAATTATATATTTATAGAGTGTTTATTTACAGTTTTTTTTGTTGCATAAATCTGATTAAGAAAGAAGTGCTGACATTCCTAGTGAATTTACTTGTACACCGTCCTCTTGTGTACAAATCTCATGTACTTCATCCTTGATTTATGGATGGTTTCTCTTCTGTCGAAAAAAAGTTCTGAAATGAGAGTTTTTAGAAAATTCAAATTCATTGTCGTTTAGTAACAACTTATTGATGTATTAATAGAATACTTTATTCCGTGTCCTAGACAGAAGCTATTACGTCCAGATATGTTTTCTATTTATTGAAACATTTTATGTAATGTATACATTCAAATCACTCACATACACCTGCAAAAGTATATTAAGAGTCATTTAACTTCAATATATATATATATATATATATATATATATATATATATATATATATATAAAATTTGGAAATGGCTGTTACCATGATCTTGTTGTTTGTATGATTGCTATCAGTTCAGTAATCAAACCATCTTTTAATTAATTTATATTTGAACGAGTAGTTTCACGAAAGTTGAATGCCAATTATATGGAAACCAATTAGTAGTGCGATGGTTCAGTGGATAGGGCGTTCGACTTTCAGTCAAAACTGTAGGTTCACATTCCACCCCATTTAATTCGGTTTGAGCGACTAGGTAGTTTTATTAGCCCCTAAACACTTGTATACTTGGTTAATGAGTTAGTTAAGGTTAAAATCTAGAAAACATCATGTATGAAAGTATATCCGTAAAAAAATCCAGCGCTTAAAACTAAAAAGACTCTAACATGTTTAATTCTGAAATCACATAAGTTCATCTATTCGACAACTGTTCAAAGTAAATAAATGTTAAGAAATTTTTCGCATAACAATCTCAAAATTCAAGAATCAATAAAAACATTTACCAGTCTACATTGTTCATTTTATCTACTATAAAATATCCTAATTGCGTGTGCCTGTGTGTATGTGTGTGTACAATAATTTCATATCAGAATTTTAGTCAATAGTTTTCTGATCTCTTATTACAACTTTTAACAAATCAATGAAATACTACATTTTGTACACCTGTCATGTCTAATGCTATTGGTTTATTATCTTCATAATTTTCTTTATTTTTTTCCTCAACATGATTTATCCTAAATATTTCAATATTTTTAATTTATAAAAAGCTTAAATTACATTCAACATCCAATAGGAAATAATATTAGGATCATTCCATGAAAATTCTAGATATAAACTGATAACATTGACACCTAAAGTAACTGTATACTTAAAGTGATTTCTACATTCAAAACGCTATTGATACTGTTTGAAATAAATATTGTTTTTCTAATTTATATATATATATATATATATATATATATATATATATATATATTGATTGTTTGAATCTCTTCATTGATGTTTACGACAAGAATTAGTATTGAATTCGAGTTCCAGAGTGAACATCCAGCTGACGAGTTTCTAATAGAATGAAACTCTCGTCCTGCACTTTACTGCTAACCATTGTTCATCTCTGCTTAAATATTGTTTTAATCATTAGGTATTATTAAAATCCTTTTTTTTTCAACTAAATAAGTTTGATCGCTTGCAGTAATTAATAGTTTAAAAGTGTCACCATATGTAATATACATATCCATTGCTAGGTTCAAATCATTAAATGAGCTGGAAATAAGATAGAGTGGAAGAAACTTCAGGTTAAGACATTTTTGATGGCTTATTTGATTCATATATTGAAAAAAAGAGAAAGTTATTGATCAAGATCTATAGTTACTGGTTGATATGATCCAAAAATGACCTAGGTAAATGTTGTTATGTTTAATATTTTTTATACTTTAAGTTAAATGAATTCCCTATTGATTTTAATTTCTTCCCTTTTTATTTTGTTTTCATTTCTTCCTTTTTTTATCTGTTCTTTTTGACTAGTATTCTTATTTCTTCTCACCGTATTTTTGCCATATGGAAAGTGGATTTATGGAAAATTGAACTCACGAAAGTTTTTGTACAGAGAATTATGGTGTACATTTTTATATGGTTGAATTATTGTATTTTTATCGTCTCTTATCTGTTAGTTTTTTCATTCTCCTATCAATCGTTGTTGTATGTTTTACTATCGCAGATTTATCACTAATTATCTCGTTTATGCATCGCTTATGACTGAGTTGTGTATACATTGCAATTTCATAATTGTGTTACTACGTGGTCACTTACTAAGACATATTATTATGTGATTTTTCATTCATGTGTGAACAGAGTACAATGGAGAATTAATCTACTTGCTATCTTAATCTTGTGATTGGAAGAGGCCAATTAGTTTTTAGATTCTCTAGTTATTATTCATGGTTAGTGATTCGTTCCTTTAGAGGTTAATGGTTTTATTGACAGTTAAGGCGATTAGGCTAGTAATCGGGGTAGATAATACAACTGCTACCATTATAAATAGCCCTATCACAAGTCTATATAAATCAAAAATCTGTTCTTTTTGAAGATGGAACGATAATATTTTGAGTTTGACCACTTGAATTAGCACGATAACATACCCAGTCCTACGTTTTTTCCATATGTCACCTTTAGGGTTTATGCTCTCACTCAACCAAATGAATTTTGATTATAGAACCCTTTTCGATATTCTTCGATTGTATTCTCAACAGTAAATATTCCCTACAGTCAATTATACAAATGTATATAGCATCGATGTCTTCTCGTGTCTTATTCCTCTCTCTGTTATAAGATGTCTATTCAATTAAATTTGAAAGTCTCAACAAGACTGAAATTCATTAGAGAATAGTCCTTTTTATGAAATTTATCCCCCACTCTATTTTTTCTGTCATTATTAGTCATTGGATGAAAAAGCAGAAGAATTAATTCAACAAAAAAGTGCTCGATGTGAACGTTATTGTTGGTTACGATCGAAGGTATTACATTTAGATAGTTTATTGGGTGGTGACCAACTATCGGATATTACAAAACATAAGCTTGATATAGATTTTCACACTACCTTCCCACCGATTATAAAATTTTTTGGACAATCGAATTGTATTGATCAAAATAACACTGATAAAAATGATCATTCAAATGAATATGAAAGTTTAGATCCTTCGCTTATTTGTAAGTGTATTTTTGATTTCTTTTTCGCTTTGTATTTATTAGTGATTTAATCGTGAACAATTTTAGAATAATAACTAAATTTAGGAAAAATGTTCTTTGAATATTGATTTCATCAGGGAGTTTCAGAAAATAAGAAAAAAACATTGGACAGGCGTGTAGTTATAGTCTCGGAAATGTCAGTACTATGTATCATCAACTTCATGAAAGATTGAATCTGGGTCTTTTGAGATCATGCTGCTGTGTATACAACCTTTTAATTTCTAAAGTTTCTGTCAAATTTGATAGTGGATGTTATGATCATTTTGTAGTGCGCGTAGCTTCGTTAAACGTTCATCCTGATAACCGTTATCACGGATACCCCACGGGATTGAATTCAGAAGGCGATAAAAAGTTGCAACTACATCTTATTAGCTGATCGCATGGACAACAGGATTACAAACACATGAAACGGATTTCAAGCGATAAGGTCAACGAATCATTGCTGGTGAATATAAGGGCAAATTTATAGTCATATCAAATAAAGGCATCGCGAATCGAAGTACAGTTTGTTTTTATAATACAAGGACAAATATATGAGAGGAGGAGGATAATACATCGAGCTATATTTATGCAATCACGATGAGTCAGACAGATATATGCGTAGGTCGTGATAAGCATTCAAATATACACGTTTCTTTAAGTACGATAGCGGTTCTACTAATACAAGGAAACAAACGAATCGTTACTATATCGATAGTATTGTATGTCAGATGAAAGGATCTGACAGGGATTAACGGTTATCGAAACTAATCGTAAGAGTGTTATTAAAATCTAAGACTCTGGGATCCTGAATCGTGAATGTCACGTGCTTTTCTTAAGCGTAAATACTCTGGATAAATTATCCGATAAAAAACGTCGAGTTAAATCACAGAATTATAATACACGATGCACTTGAATTAACTGAATTATGGACGTCCATTGAATGTAGTGTTAGAAACTCACTGACCAATAGAACGTTTATCATTCATTCCATTTGTTTGTTTACCTATTCACTTGGTATTGTTTGGCTTGTATCTTCCTATTGAGGTTTAATACTGCAAATGATCAGTCTGTTATTGGCATATGTGCATACTGTGCGTATTACCTCGATATTTCCTTAATTCACAAGCTTTTTGTAAGCAATGATGGATAGTGGGTAGCAGTAGAATCCAGGACGCGCATTTCATCCTATTTGGGACTCGTCAGCTGGATGTACCTGCATCTCAGAATTGATGTCCACTCTGGGACTTGAACCTAGTACCATTCGCTCCAAACGACGTAACGTTATCCACTCAGCTACTGAGTCCTGATATCCACTTGCTTGTGCAATGGGGTGAATTTAAATTCACTTTATATTGTTTTTATTTGTATCTTCCCATTGTACTATGTAATGGTACCATATCACTTGTCTATTAGCTTCTCAATTAATTTATCTGATGATTTGATATAAAGTATAATTGATCAGTAGATAATGGTATTATCCAACAGTCTACAGATTAGAATATTGAAATATGAATATGAGCGAAACACACTGTCTTGTATAACAGTCTATCACTTTTAAAAAACGAAATATCAACACTTTGCTATGCTGAAGAATGTCATATATTTCTTTTTAGGTTTGTAATACAATTACATTATTTTTCATTATTTCATTTTTGCCAAAGGATCAAATGGTAATGAATATTAAATTGTTTCATTCAGCTATAGTGCTTACAATTCATGGTATTTGTGATCGACCGATTCAATCATTTGCTCATGTACTGGTTTGTATATTTGAATTTAAACCACACTATCTGTGTAGGGCGTCAGTGATATTATTTGGTTATGTAAATCGAAATGAGTAGTATAAAGTCTGAATTCGCTACTCATTACTTGAAAGCTGAGTACTTTAACCACTAATACACCATCATCACTCACTAATTATGATTAGTTAGCTATTAGGTAAAGTTTATGTTTCAAGTTAATAATAATAATTATTATTTATTTAATACCAAACACTTGAGTACAGTAAGTAAATCTAAACAACAAATACGCCATCTTGCAAAATCTATCTCTCTAACACATTCAAACTGTGAGATTATTCAATATATATCTAAAGAATTTTTTCACAGTTCATATGTTCTACCCGTATTCAATCGTTAAAGTTTCACACCAGCTCATCTACTATTATTATTATTATTTCCTATGTTACACGATAGTTCTTTTTTGATCTCCCAATAAATATAATATTCTATTGTGTTATTGTTTAAATGCAAATACATTATTATTATTAATAAGTAGTGCGATATAATTCTGAATAGTGATAATAATAATAATAATAAACATGTGACTCATTTACTTAGTTGAGTAAAAGTTCATGTACTTAACTTTAATAAAGTATACATCATAACTAAATTGGACCACAGAACAAAACAACTATATAGTTATGTTGCACACTTCCTACAGTAAGTAAACGAATATGTAAAATGTTAAGTTTGGAATGAACAAGAATATATAATACTCAGACCCAAACCAGTACATACATAACCAGTTGGCTTATACCAACATCTCTCCTACCATTTGACATTGAACTAGCCTGTGTGCATATGTACTTGATATGTTTGGATTTGCCCAACTTATTACCCCCCCCCCCTGAAAAATAGGTCTATTTTTTCGGACTCAGCTACAAGTTTTAATGTAGGCTTACATTAAGCACTAACTGGCTATCTAAACAAAAGCTGATGTTAAAGGGTCCGAAATTGTGACCTGATGATCGATAATTGAGAGCTTTATCCACTAATTTACCGCTTTATGCAATTTTTGACTACAAAATTATCTCGAAAGCTTGGAAGCATCTAACGGTTATTTTGTCCTAGTGTGGGACTCCTCAACAATGCACACTCATGACCCTGCACGTGGTAATCGAACCTCGAGACCTATCTTACTAGCGAACGCCTAACCTCTAAACCACTGAGCTAGCATCCAACAGTATCAAGGTCTAACTTCAATCAATCCACAATAACACTAAACCCTCTTCCATTATCTTCAGTTGGCAACTGCTTCACACCCGATATGGTTAGACACCACTGGTCACGGCTTCTCATCAGAACACCTGCGGGACCGTAGGTATATACCGCAGAGGATTCGCATATCTGGATGAGATAGATGTTCAGCACTTCCAGGTTTTAAAAGGTAGTCTAACTTAGATCAGCGCAGGATTTCAATGAAATTCATTGATCTTCATGACCTTATACTTCCCATTAAATAGTTGATAAGCTTATTTTAGAACTGTTTTCTACACAAGTTTAAATCATTCAATTTACCAAACTGTTGAATCTTACACGTCTAATCATTAGCCTTTTCCACTATTCCATGACATATAAGCCGTATCTTTCTTTTAGTGTAGCAATAATGATTTATGTTGGACTTTGGTAGTCAAATGATATGATTCGATGATTAACATTCGAACATGGGCCGCTAACTAGAAAATCTAAATGTCATGTTGATTATCATGTGAACAATTTTTGAAAGAAACCTACTCAGTAAAAGTATCATAATAAGAACGTGCTTAAAACAACAGCCACGAATTTTCACTCAGTTCTTAGCCAATCAAAAACGGTTTTTGTAAATGAATAGTTTCTTAAAAAATAATATTAAAGTGTTAACAGATTTTACATATTAAATTTAGTAAATTCTTCCACAGGTGATTCTCCCTGTCAATGAAAAAAAAACAACGATATTAAAACGTTCTTATGGATATAGGTTGTTTATCTTCTCGAACATTTAAAAGGACTAAAATATATTATTAAGGGCCTCTACATTTTTCATAGTTGGAGTTAGGAATGGAGGTCGAGGGTAATATTTTTTCATCATGAACTGACAGCTATTATGCAGAAAGTCGGTGTAAACGTATGAATAATTGAATTTCACTCAAAAATCCAAGAAATAAATTATGATTAGTTCGTCCATAAAAGTACGATGCCAATAGGTTAAGTTTTGTGTCAATAATAAATGTTTCGAGTTAGGTTTCAAGGATAGATTTGATTTGCCTGTGATCTACAATTAACAGAAAAACAAATAAACATTTAACACGTTTAACAATATCATTTTTACCCTATACTGGCAAAAAAAACATTTTTGTCATCATTTTAAACGTTTTGAGCAATATACAAAGATATTTCTATGGTTGAAATCATGAGTTAATGGAAGCTAGACCACCATGGAAAACCTGGAAGCATTGAACGGCCGTTTTGTTCTAGTATGGGACTCCTCAGCAGTGCGCATCCACGATCCCGCTCCTCGCGAGATTCGAACCCAGGACCTATGGTGGTCTAACTTTAATTGACTCATGATTTCAACTATTGAAATTACTAAAATCTCCTCAAAACCCCTTCTGATAAAGATATTTCTACTGTTTATTAAACGTGATATTTGAATTTCGCGCAAAACAAAAATCACGTTTCCCATTCTGATTATCTAGTCTGTATACTATACATTTATGTAATATCACTGAACAATGGTGCACCTGTTTATTACTTCATGTCTTTTAAAGATATTATTCTGAACTTCCAGGTATGTACCTTTTTTTCTATTTTCAGTTATTTGTTTAAGTCATTTGTTTTCAATGATTTCATCACACTAGAATCAATTCTAAATTATGATTGATCAGCATCTATGGCATTTTTTTAGAAATCTATTTTTCTCTTATTATTTTTTTCAATCATTAATGATGACAGACTTTTATGCATGTATTCATTGTCATTTTTATCTCCAAAAGAAAACATGACACTTAACAATTGAATTTTCGAAACCACATGATGATAATCAGGTTCTTTATTTGTAAGTTTTAGCATAAGATATATTGTTACTTATTTTATCAAACAATGGTGATTAATTTAATCATGAATTGATTACTATTCAAATAGAGTTCGATAGCGTGGCTACAATTGGAATCTAGGACACACTTTACATCTTTTGTTTTTACGGGTGACTTAATTGATCAATGTATTGAAAATAATAATAAATGTATAGTAGTGTCCTGTTGAAATGAAAGAATGAATCAATAAACAGTCTATCTCTTTATTATATAACACTCATTAGTTTATTTTTATGTTTACAATTGTTAGTGATAGGCTTGATAAATAAAATCTTGTAGTTTCCTAAGTTCATCTATTTACTTTTCATTAAACTTTCATCATGAATTGAAATTGGTTAAACAAAAAAAGAATAAAAATTCGTTTCAGACTAACTTTTGCTAACTTGCGTCATTTATGGCGTAGGCGACATATCCGTCTATCAACCAAAGGACGTATTTACTGCGCAGCAGTTCGTACTGTCCTACTTTGTGGCTGTGAAACATGGCCGGTAAGAGTAGAGAATATTTGTAGGTTACTAGTATTTGACCATAGGTGTCGTTGAAACATCGCTCGTATATCCTGAGACCACCGAGTAAGCAACTCAGTTATTAGGAAACGGGTACTAGGTAAGGATAGCAAATCAATTGACGAAGTAGTGAAACTTAATCAGTTGAGATGGCTGGGACATGTGTTACGTATGCCCGACCACCGACTGCCCCGACATGCGATGTTTTATGGTGTAGGAGTAGGTTGGAAGAAAGGTAGGGGCGGCCAGACCAAAACATGGCACAAATCCATGAAGTCACTGACAAGTGGACTGAGCCATGTTGGCAGGTGTAGACTACCTGGCTGCGATCCGCGAGACGATAGCAACTGATGATTAGAGACCTTGAATGACATGGCTTAAAATCGTTTGCAATGGCGCAGGTGCATCCACTCTTTGTGTTCTCTCAAACTCTAATCTTTTTTTCCAAATTTATTCCACTGGATTATATTTCTTGAATAACATCATCAAACCCCAATGCTCCCAATTACTACTTATACTTTCAGTACCTCTACCACTACGGGATTTGAATCGATAACTGCATCTTTGTGCTAATGTGGTATGGCAACTCGAACTGATGTTCGTACGTACGTACGAAGTTCTACGTTGTTACTGACTGACTGACAATAGTATTCGTCAAAATTTAAGCGAATAATTAAAAAGAATTTGGACGCAGATTATAAAGAAGACATTAATTATAATATATGTTTGAAATAATCTCAATTATTATTTTACTGAAGAATCTTAGACTCAGTTTTCCGAGTGAAATAATGGAATTATTTAAACTTCAATCACTGAAACTGTTTCAAATATAATTTTCACATTCAACTTTGAATTACTGTTGGCATTCTTGAATGTAGGTATTTGAATTCAAATGTCTATCAATGCTCTTTTTAGTCAGAGATTAGTCTACAATGACTAGTGGACATCTATCCACATTTAATTTGATTTATTTCACTGGTTAAAGTTTGTTATTTAAAGTTCAGATGGCTAGTGCGACTGTTTTATTATCTAATTAATGCTACTACAAAGTCCCACTTTATGATGTTATATCGATTGATTGAGCATACTGCAATCATTGTTGATTTACCCGTAAGGATTGACCATCCATACGTACATAGTTTATCAGAATCCAACGTTTGGTGCAGCTCATCTAATTAAGGTCAACCGATTCTATCTCGAACCAGTAGTGGTATGATATCCAAAGTAATATTATTATCTTCTATCGCAAATTAATTCAATTTAGTCGGCAAATTCTGTTGATTATTATTAGGAAATATCAAAATGGTTGAGTTTGTTATGTATATTTATTATATTACTCAAGGGGCTTTTGTTTAATCTTTAGCATCTTGGACCTTTAATACGTTTACTTGGGATTTCGAATTAACTTGTACTTGTTACCTCTCGTGAAGGCGCATAGACCGGCATTCTCCATCCCACTCTGTCTTGGACAGTCCTTTCCAGTATTTCCCACTTACTATTCATTCTTTTGATGTCTGCTTCCAATTCTCGACACAATGTGTTCTTTGGTTTTCTTCTCCGTTTCCCCTCATGATTCCAAGTTAGTGTTTGCTTTATGATGCAGTCCGATGATTTCTGTAATGTATGTCCTATCCACTTCCAGCGTCTTTTACTAATTTTCTCAGCAGCTGGAAGATAGTTTGTTCTCACCCACAGAAATAAGGAGTGTCCATAAACTAGAACGGTTGGGGGGGGGTTGCGCATGTCCCTCTGTTTCTTACCTCAATGTATTATACCGCATAGTTTACGGACTATGCGTAATGAAAACAAGACTGTCGACTTAATCTTCCCACATAATCGTAGGAACCTCGTTCAATTTCAGAAATACGATTGCAATCAATGGTAAAGTACTTTATATATTATTGGGTCGTAATCGGTTGCAACAATGTGAATACATCTACTTTATATTTTTTATGTTGTACATTGATATTTGTTTAATATCCTACACTTTTTCTAGTTGTTCTACAGTTCTTTAAAACCACCCAACGCAAATAATCTAATTTTACTAAGAATACTAGGCTGTACAACTTTTGACTACATTTCTATGTACATGAAGTGATTGTTATTCTATAACTATTATGAAAAGTTTTCTCTTCCTATTATTTGTACTTATCTGTTTTAAAATATCCTTTTTTTCAATTAACCTTATTCAGCGTCTATTCAAACATTACCAGATCAAATAAATATCGAAAAGCTTACTACAATTTATGAAGAACTACAATCAATTTATACACCATTAGCTAATCAACATGCTGCACTTCGTGAAGATATTGCTCGTGTTGCAGCTGATATTTTCTATCAACCACAATCAGATAAAGAGGCTGAAATTTTAACGATTGTTGGATTAAAACATTTATGTAAAAATGGTAATGCAATTTCAACTCCTGGTGTAGTTAGACGAGCTAATGATGGAACAAATTGTGTTATGCCTATATCTACACCTAGTGAAACCTCAGAAGTCACTACAAATGGTTTAGATAATAATCATGATATATATGAACCTGTTGTAAATAAAGAGATACTTAGAGTAAGTAGATATTCTGTATTTGGCTAGTGTTTTTTTAAGAATTTATTTTCAAGTTACGTGTTCTCTTATTAAACTTTACATATGGTAGAGCTATTTAGTGAAAGATTCTAATGCTGGATATAGAGTACTGTTAAGTAAAAGTAGAGCAATGGCTTTGATGTTAAGCTGTTCAACTTCTGACTATCAGTTCTCAAGTTCATACCCTGTATCCGAGTACTGTTATTAGCTTTCAAACTTAGAATGTGGCTCATACCATATTACATAGTGAATGACTTAATCAACGAATTGATTACAATTCATGATATATTGGTTAGTAAGATTTTGCAACTTCAACTGATTAAAATGATTGAATCATGTTATTCTTCATACATCTGGTTAATATCTACCTCGCAATCTACTCTATTGTCTAGTATAGAAGTAAGTTTGTCATTACTCTTATAAATCCTACTGAGACATCTAACCAGTTCATAAGGTCAATAGCTTAAGATAATCATTATTTATACGTTATGAAAAACAAAAAAATCGGTCACTTCACTCATGATTATAATTTATTCTTTGAATGTAAAACTATATCTAGTTCAGCGTATTCATGTATATGTCATATTATTTCCATTGTTTATATATATATATATATATATATATATATATATATATATATATATTTGTATATCATCTATGATAATCAAATAATCATTTTATTTTCAAATCATTAACCTAAAAAATTTACAAGATGTTTTTCACATGGATTTTAATATTGTTCAAATAGAAGTTTTTTTTCTGTCTTTAAATAATTGTGCACTATTAGAGTTGTTTATAATATAATACACATGATAATATGTTGGTTGTGTAAATCTGTCTTAAGATTATTCATACATTTCTAATAATAATGAATAATATAATTATCAGTATGGGTTCGAATCCCGGTCAGCTGGATCGTGGATGCGCATTACTGAGGAGTCAGTTCCACGATAGGGTGAAACAGCTGTCCAGTGCTTCCAGGTCTTCAATGGTGGTCTAACATTAATCGGTTCATGATGTCAATTTAAAAAAAAGATTAATATAATTGCCTGAATTGATTGGAATATAGATGTTTTTCTTGCTGTAATCCATCTAACAGTTAGTGAATGAAAGAGTAATACACACAGATAAAAAATAAGAAAGAAACAGTTTTTGAATAGAAGACTTTATTTACATTAATATTCTAAATGTACAGCTTTAAAGATTGATAATTGTTTAAAATATTGTGTAATTTCAACAAAAGAAATAATTACCAGTTATAGAATTTAATATCTTACTAGGATTTATAAGTGTTGTATAAGTTGAATACGTACTGTTTTACAAGTTCCGAATGTGATTGTGAAACAACTTCCTAATTTTTTTTAATGATTCTCCAAATGAAATCAGTTTTTGAGAAAAATGAATTGTATATTTGAAGTTGTTTACATCAATTAGTTTTTCAGTTTGAAGTTAAGGATATATCAAAGATAGTATCAAAAATCATAGTTTAACACCAGCTGGTTTAAATCTTCACAAACTGACTCGTCCAGCATATTAGTTAGAACTATCAATATTGAAGTATTTCTTGAGTACTGTTAGAAATATGATGATGTTTATCATTTTCTGGTTCATCACAACATGCAAAGATGCTTCTTCTTGAGGGACATGAAAAGGAAACTGGGTTTGAAATGAACTTGATAACCTGCGAGATTAACTGCTGAACCCAATAGATAACTGATTGCAACTCATGGCAAATGATATTTCTGGTGTGCTAGCTCCGTACTTTTGAGAAGTATATGAGGCAAGGTGAGTTTTACTACACTTACACTCTGAGAATGTAGCATCTGTCTAGATGCTGGTTGTCTAAGGGAAATATCTTACTATCATCACAACTCTGTAAGGTTAAGAGTAAGACCTCACCATCAAACCTTTAGTTTGCTGCTTTTAGCCCTACTGCTCTTCAATCGACCTTCAAATAGTGGTAAGATCTGAATGAGCGAATGTCTCATCCACCATAGTTGGGTGATAACTGTTTATGTTTTAACTGAAATTAATCAACAATTGGTCTCTGAAATATACCTTTCTACTTAAAAATAAACTATAAATGTTTTATTACTAAGTAAAAATGTTAACATAAGTGTATAGATTTTTGTGTGCTAGTATTGTTTATCGATTTTCACGTAGTCTTATTTTCCAGTTAATTAGAGAAACGAGTATTTTTCTTTTTTTTGAAATCTATTTTTCGTCACTGCCATCATTATTTTAACTAAATTACAGGTCCAGTTGCTTTTGTCAGTCAGTTGAATAATTAACTACAGTAATAATAGTCGTAGTAGTGAAAAAGACAGAGTAAAGAAAAAAAGTATGAAATGATTTCGATACTCAAGAACTAAGACGATCCAAATAGTGAACACATCTATGTTATAACGATCGATTCTGAATTACACTATCTAATATTTTCAACCACTGGTTAAAATAGTCATGCCGACCCCCAACCAGACAGCTTGCACCTACCTACATATGAGTTATTTCGGCATTTAATGAGTTCATGGGCTGATGACAATTTTCTGTTTGACCAACACTTATTTTAATTTTGGTCTACTCCTATACCAGACAATAACATTACTTTTTTATGGTGTAATGACCTAATTTCATAATCTAACTTATTCCCTTTATGATATGATGATTTCGATTCGTTTAACTCAAGTTGTTTTCTTTTAACATTTAATTCATATTATCTAAAGTTCGCTTTCTAAATATAACAGAACAACAATAATACAGTGAATTGTTTCGTCATGTGTTTTAAGGATGAATAAAAAATTCTGTCAGCCTAAAATTAACAACATTGCATATTTATTTTATGGTGGGGATCCCCATGTATATGTTCGAATTAGTAATGAAGATTTTTTATTGTTTACTGACGCTTAGTTTGTTCAATGTTCATCAGCCCACGCGTATTTGTCTCTATAACACATTTACTTGTTATATTGATGTAATAATCAGCGAGTTTTAACAATGTGGGCGTTATAAATAGTAAGTTTAAGCTGTGATATTATAAATAATTCTTTCTGTGGTGGTAATTCAATAGCATAGTTCATTGGTTGAAATAATGAGTCAATTGAAGCTAGACCGCCATGGAAAACCTGGGAGCATTGAACGGCTGTTTCGTTCTAGTATGGGACTCCTCAGCAGTGCGCATCCACGACCCCGCTCCACGCGAGATTCGAACCCAGGACCTATCAGTCTCATGCATACACTGTCGATTTCTATGCAATTGTAAATTTTTCTGAATAGATTTGTAACTACTCATAAGTAAGATAAATTAGCCACATTAAAATACCTCGTCTATTTTTATTACAAATGAAATTTGTATGATGCAAATTTGAATATTTGTTTTTACTACAGTTATTCTTAGATTGAGACAAGTGTTTATATGGGCATATACTATTTGTCATCGTGAAGCTTAGTGTTATCTGGCTTTGGATTTTAGTTGAGAAAAAATGTAGGAAACCATTACTTCTCATTTGGTTTTATTTCATTTAAAGATTAATTAACATTTGGACAAAATTTAAAGATTATATTCACCATAAATTGGTCTCAGTTTGGTACCACCAGAAATTGTGAATTGTTGGGTAGTTGTTTTGTATGGGACTTCGTAGTAGTGCTCAAATTCTACCCCACGAAGAATAAAATCCAAAACATTCAAGTGTATTGAATTATTATCTTTCAAGACCACTGGATCGGCGTCTAAATATACAATCCTATCGATCTGCAACATAACACGAGTATCATACAAGAGGCTTGATGACGAAGCTAATCAAACTGTTAAAACATACTGAACTGTTAGGCTGTACTTTAGTTTACTAATGTATTAACATTTTTAAAAAATTCATAGAAGTTAATGAATGAAGTATGTGTAATGCAATTATCACGGGTTTACCGTTACTGTAATTTTTACACTGAATAAATGACCGTAATGATTAACAACACAAATGAAAAAATAAATGTCTACAAAATCAATTGAATAATATAACGGTGTTTAATTTTCAACGATCAATTATTACGTTTATTGCGGTAACACATTGTCCTAGTGATTACCATCTTTGGTTAGTGTTCAAACTGACGTTGATTCACGTGTACGTATGTGATTTTTCCCAAGGCTTTTTCAACGAGACTTTGATCAAAATTGTCGATTCAAAAATTAGTGTGATTATTGACATATTTCAACGGTGTTTATTTATTCTCTGTTAAACAGTTTATAATCGTTTAACGCGAACATTCTTAAAAACAAATCCTACAGCATGTGTACTGCCAAGATTTCATTGATACAGGGTGATGTAATTCGGCAAGTAATGCCAAAATATAACTTTTGAAACTAACATATGGAGAATTATCATTTATATTTTTATTGCATAATTAGTAAACTGTTGTGTTGTTAATTTTTTGGAGTCACCTATTTGTAAAATTTCGTTTGATCTATAAACTGTTTTCACATATCTTTTTCCTCCAGATTTACCATAAATTAGTTATTTCCTTAATTCTACGATTTTGTATCATCTATGACTGAGTTATGTGCGCGTTTTAATTCTTGAATTGTATCTCTGTTTGGTCACGCATTTCAGGTATATTATTGTACAAGTTTTAAGTCGTGATTAAATAGAGTTCAGTGGAGAACTGAGCTTATTTCTATCTTCGTCTTCTGATTGGACACTAGTATGGAATGTGCTAGAAAACTAATAGGCGTAAATGATATTTGTCGTTGTTCACTGGTCACTGTGTCGGCGTAAAAACAGGTTATCGGTTTGACAAGCAGTATAGGCAATTTAATAATCGCACTAGATCGTGCTACCACTCCCATAATAAACGGTCAGATAATACAAACGTCATCACAATTTCAAGTATCTGTTCTCTTTTTTATGATACGATACTTATGTGTTCATTCTTTCTAGAACTCATTATTAATTCCATCGATTCCATTCTATTGTTGTTTTTAATATTGACAACACATCTCACATTAAGTTTTAGAAGCTTTTCTTCTTGTATTCTTTGTTTCTTCCTTTACATCTCTTTGTCAGTGGTTAACTGATTGGCGATTAAGATTGGTCAAAGAGAAAGCACGTTTAGTTGGTACGTGTGAAGAATTGAGAGCTTACCTGTTACAAATGTGGAAACGATTAGATAAACCGGAATCAGAACAGAAAGAATTTCTGGAAATGCATTCTGGTTATAAACCTGAAACACTGGAAGCACTTCAGGTAGTCTCATTATGTTTTTACTTTATTTTAGGAGGTTTGCTATTTTTTAACTCAAATTATTTATTGTTATGTTTTTACTAAAAAAAGGTAAAGTTTTAGTCAACATACTCTGGCTCAGTTGCATTCTATAGTATATTCAGATGATCATAGAAGTTATTCATCAATAAAGAAGGATATATTTCAAAAAATTTGTAATTATAGCACTATAAGAATAAAATTTATTTTTTTTAAATTAAGCTATTTGTGAGATTGCCGTGTATTAACTTATCCCTCACAGAAAGTTATCCTGTTTAGTCTATTTAGATATGAAATAGTATTATGTAAAGATTACTGAATTTTCAATATGGACTGAACTCAAATGGACAGTGATAGAAAACTGAAAACAGTAGTAAATATCTGTTTTATTTTAACTTGAGATTTTTAAGAGACTGAACTAAGAACTTTCAGATTTCATACTGAACCCTATAATATTGTGGCGTATGCTACATATGTTGACGGAAATAAGTAGTATGTAACACAAATCAGAAGTGGAACTCCTGACAGCAGAAGGTTGAGAAGAAGGAATTGACGAGAATAGGAGTGTAAACGAAGAGTAATTGTAATAAAAACAAGAATGAAGGAACGATAAGGTGTGTAAGTGACAATTGATGGGAGATGTGCAAATGATGTATTTAATATATGGTGTCCATATTTTTCGAAGACACTGTAAACTTGCATTAATAAACAAATTGGTCTTCCTCATCTGAATGCTCACTCACTACACTATGAGATAATAGATGATCCAATAGTTTAGCTTCCGATTTAGATCAATCTCCATATATTGTATGATGGTTACCTCAGTAACATGTTTCTCTAACTGACTACGATGGATGATAAGAACAAACTTTCGAAGAAGTTCATTCATTCGAGTGACAACATGATAATTTAAAACACTTGTTGGTTTTATCTATTATTCTATCATTCATGAGAATCGTACAGTGTAAAATATTATTTTTACTAAATTTATATAATTATTTGACACTTCTTTATATCAACCCTATTCTGTTTTGTCAATAGTCGAATCTGTAAAACGTTCAATGTGCTATTAAGCGAACTTCAAAGTTCATATAAACGATGGAATAGGATAAGATGTTATTGGAAAACTAGTTACCACTTTAAGTTTATTAATTTTCTTGTTTTACATGGTTATACTTTGTTACTATGTTTACAGAGTTATTTCACTTCAAAGTTGACATCTATTTGTAATATAGAGTTATCTTCTTAGTCTAGTCTTCTTTATCTCTTATTGGTGTATAAATTATTAACATTAAAGTGTTGTTGTGTGTCAACAAATGGACAATCATCGAGTTTGCATTATTTCATGTCCATATTAAGAAAATGTGGATCGTTCGTATCAAGAAATTTCTAGTGATCCATTCGCAATCAATCTCAAAGTATCATAATGATACCCTTCCCTGAATTTCGAATTTTTTTTATTATTTTCTCCAGTAAAATTTATGAATACAATGTCTTTTATTTAAAAAGAAACACTATCCAACTCTTTTCTATTTCATGTTTTTTTTTATTTCAAGGAAGAAGTTGATCGTTGCCAACAGATGAAATGGGAAAATATGCAAACATATTTAACTCGTCTTGAAAGCGAAGCTCTACGATTGGCTAGTTTATGTTGTGTAGATGAGAAAATTATTCAACTACCAAATGATAGTGATAAACAAGATCCAGAAATACTAATTAATCACTTAGAGACTATATTAGAACAATTAAACCAAACCTATTATTTATATCGTCCTGTCTATGAATGTATTGCTGTATATGAATCGTCTTGGAAACAATTAATTGATGTTGAAGCTCGTTTAAAAGATCCATCAATATTTTCTAATCGTGGTGGTATTTTATTAAAAACAGAAAAAGAGAAAAAACGTCTACTGAAAGAAGTGGAACGTACTGAAAAAGAGGCAATATCAGCTATTGAACAATATGAATTGAAAAGTTCATCACATTTTCTCTTATCTAATGGTAAAACATTTACTGAACATATTAATGAAAGATGGAATAATTACAAAACACTTAAAGATACATCAAAATCACGTCGTTCAATTGTTCCAGCTACTAGTAATAATAGTAATTCAACTATCAGTAATAATAATACCGGTAATACAACACGTCCAACTTCAGCTAATCTAACAGGATCACCTGTAGCTCACACTTAGTACTTATTTCATTGAATGAAAAACATTAATTTTTCACTTTTTCCCATTTTGTTGTACATACACACGCATATATATATATATATATATATATATATATATATATATATATATATATATATATATATAAAGTGTACGCTTACAGACAAGTCTTCACTTCACATATACATTTAATTTTGTAGGCTGTGAATTTAGCTTTGAAAAAACCAACAGACAGGGATTTACAAGATCGACAGATAATTAAAGGAACATTGAATATGGTTTCATTTGTAAATTCTTATTTTTCTTTGTTTTTCTTTTCGTTTCATTATATTTCTTTACATAGTTTTTAATTACTTTGCTTAATTTTGTTGTGTAAAAAGAAGTCATTCGGATCAGTAATGGCTACCTACTATATATATATATATATATATATATATATATATATATATCACCAATCAGCTGATCTAATAACAACTTTTCAATAAAACACGATTGTATTTATCGACACTATTAACGGGGTTGAGTTTATGCTTAAATGAAAAATCATATTTACCTCATATTCTTTTTTATTTTAAGAAGATAATATCTGTTAGGGTTATTATTTTGGTTGTTGTTCACAGTATACATAAAAAACAACAGCTATAGAATGTGTGTTGTACACTTGATTTGATGCTTTCATTTTCTGTGCAATAGATAAATTTGGATTTTTGTCTGTTGAAAATGTAACCTACTATTTTTTCAGTGTGTTGCTGTCAATGAAGAATGCTTTTTCATCTCATTTTCTTTATATTTTTCTTTTGTGTCATATGTGTGTATGTGCGTGTGTGTGTGGATGTTAATCTTTTGTTCATTTTGATGAATAATTAATAGTTCAAACCATTTCGAACATTCACTCATTTGCTTTTCATTCTTCAATTCGAATGAATTGGCTTGCTGTATACTAGCTGACTTGTCGTTCATGAACAGACTATATCAGAATAATAATAATAATAATAATAATAACTGTTTTGGCTGTAGCGATTAAGGTGCTTTTCTGTTTCTATGATTTTGAGGAGAAATTAATTTTAATAGATAAATTTGTAAATTAATTCAATTTTAATTCATCAGTTGACAGTTATTTAAGTTATGTACCTTTCTATGAATAGTTGTATTAATGAAATGGAGAACTGATAAATACACTACAATTGTAGCTTTTAGAACAGAGTGAAATTTGTTGTAGCGATGTGTAAATTAGTTTTGAATTATTCAGGTAATTGGTAGAGTTTTTGTTTATGATGGCTTGACTGTCATTCAAACAGGGTTTTTATACATGTTTAAATTTTCTCAGCAACGCTCACTAGAAGCTATTCGTAGGATTAAAATCAGAATATTTATGTCTCTAGACAAATACAATAATTTTAATCTGCTAAGTTTAAATTCCATGGTCCATGTTTTATTGTCTACCCAATTTGTAATATAACTCCACCACAATGAGCTAACGGCTACGATAATGGAAAGTTTAAATTTTCAGACTCTGTGAGTTTAGATAAAATCATGCCAAATAAACTGTGGTTTGCTGATGAAACTTTCATTTGTTTGACTAGTTCATTGTCACCCCGTTTAGAAAAGTATGATCACATTTATGCATTCATTATCACTGATATTTTGTTCCTAACCAAGTGGTTGGATATACCATGCTAGTGTATTTGTGACCTTGCAAATTACAGAAGATAATTTGTATGATCAGAGTTCAAGTCTATGAAGTGAGATCATGGTTGACAAAATATCTTTCACATGCTGAATAACACGACAGATATATAGCCTTCATTTTGCCTACAGGTATCATTTTCAAGTACATGCCATGATACTATCGAATCAAATGTGTGAGCATTACTATTTATAGGTAAACCAAGTAAAGTTGATCTATAATATTTGATCTGTTTCTAAAAATAATCATAGAAACTTTCACGTATCTGAGCGATATCATCGATGAACAAGGAGGATCTGACGCAAACGTAAAGATGAGGATCGGTAAAGCAATGGCAGCATTCCTACTGTTGAAAAACATATGGAACTCAGAAGAGCTGTCAACTAAAATCAAAGTGACAATCTTCATTACAAACGTCAAAACAATCCTGCTGTACGGAGCTAAAACTTGAAGAACTATCACAATCATCAAAAAAGGACAAGTATCTACGAACATTTGTCTACGCAAGATACTCATCAGTTTGTCGGATACCATCAGCAACAGCCTACTATGGGTGAGAACAAACTATCCTCCAGCTAAAGAGGAACTTAGGAAAAAACGCTTCAAGTGGAATAATTTTGATTTTATGTTCGTAGAAACTAAATTTTCTTAAGTTACATAAATTCTCAACATCCCCGTATATTTGAAATTCTTTTTCGTTTTATTAAGATTTCAGGAAACCGGGATTGTTGATAGTCACTAATTACTGGCAAATGCGACCCGTAGTTTAGTACATTAACCTTGTACCTATTAAATGAGTTATTGGAATTTTGAATTGGACCACTAACCCGGATAGTGTTGTCAGTAATGTTCGAGGAAAATAACAGTAATTTTGAATGAATATTAATAAATAGATTTAAACAACCAACATAAATGAATCATGAACCACAACATTGTACGAATCAGTGGTTCACTTAACTGAGTAGCTAAGAGGATGGAGGATTGGAAATTTGAAGCGAAAGGTACGAAATTGGACTTCCGTAATGAAAAATAATTCTCGGATATAAGTACATCTGACTGACAATTGCTTAACAGGACGAAAAACGCGTGCTGAACTTCACCATCCAATTTTGCTATAAATTTAAATGAAATTTCTATTCGAAGATATTTCGAAAAAATGAGAACAGTTGGTAGTTATAGGGATTTTTATTGTTTCGTTGTTGTAACCAAAGTATTTCAAACCGACTGAATCGATTTTCTAGTAAATAAGTTGGTTTCAACTTTTGAGAATAGTCATATATCTTGTGAAAAAGATAAAATATGATTCTACTCATTAGGTCTACATATTAAATAAGTTGACATGATAGAGCGTGTTTGTATTTCAGGTAAAAGATCTTAGTCAGTTGTGGTGAAATTCTAATAGTTCACTTCTAATTAGATCGCAAGCTGGCGGTTTTGTTCAGAAAACCAATGAAAGCCACATGAATAAACCATACAACTCAGAGAATATAATATCAACTACATAATACGTACTTGTAACTCGATTCATACAATTGAACATCATTTCTTCTGTTTTTCACATAACAATGTTCAGCTACTTTAATTATTTTTTAGTGAGAACATAACTACGACGTTTTTTTAAATGTTATGGTTTGTGGTAAATTACTATAAACAATAGTTCAATTGATTTTAAGTAGTTTGCTCGTTATGAATCGTGATTAATTTAGCCACAACTATTTCTCACTTTACAGTTGAATCTATTAGAGTTACCTCCTTTGATTTGTCGCAAAATGAAAATACATTACTACTCAATGAGTTTCTTTATTACACGGAATCATGCAATAGCTTATTTATGAAATTTACTATCTATTAAACAAAATTGTCAAGCCATCAGATTTACCCTACACTTCGATCATTACAGCTAGTGTGAACTTAAGATTCTGAATAAAAAATAGTTATTTCAGAGATAGTTAATTATTTATTCATCCCCATCGAATAGGTTAGAGACTATTAGGACTCAATAGCTAAGTGGACTTTTGAATCGAATGGTATTACGTTCGAATCTCAATGTAAACATCAAAACTGAGACGTCGGTACACACAAATGACTAGTCCCAAACAGGACGAAACGCCTGTACTGTTTTTCATTGCTAGCAACTATCCATCATCGACCTTTTGTTGTAATCCTCAGAATCATTGAGGTTTACCTAAAAAACATAGCTATCTAATTACAGCTCCTTTATATTGGACCTAAGAATAATAATCAGTATTTCGTTCAAATTGTGTAGACAGGGAAAAATTCAAGAGCTAATTACTTCGTTATAAATTTTAGATATCACCAACATATCTGTTATTTCCTCTTCTACCACAAAATCTGTCTTGCTATTGGTAAGTGAGAGTTCCAAACAAACAGTTTTTTATTAAATCTAGGACTACTGTGTTCATTCGACACAACTAAAACACCTTACCTATCAATGCCATTAAAAGTCCTTTCAAAGACGCTTCTTATTTTACATAATATATGTGGTCAATTAATTGTAAATGTCTCAATCTTTGAGGATATCATGTACATGCTGGATAGCTCAACGATAACGTATATATATATATATAATTGTTTTAACACTCAGATCTCTCTATTTACTAGTCGGCACACACAATAGCTTCACTTATGTGTATTAATGTTCACAATTAAAGTAGATATTAGTAGAATATGGATAGGCAACTGTTACAATATGCGATCTAAAAAATTTCCTTAGATTAACCATTGGATTATTGTACTATAAAAACAATAACCAGTAAACGAAAATCCACTGATAAATTGTTGTGTATCGGATGTATGACTAAACTAACGAAAAAAGTAATTATCTACATAGTTAATGGATCATGAAAATCAATAACAACAAAGAGTCGAAAGTTAAAACTAATGGTCACCTATACTTATTAAGACACATCAACGTGGATTGGTTGAAGTTAGACATTAACATCATTGGATGCCCGATCAGTGGTCTAGTGGCTAAGTGCTCGCGCGTGAGACTGATAGGTCCTGGGTTTGAATCTTGCGAAGCAGAATCATGGATGCGCACTGCTGAGGTGTCTCATACTAGGACGAAACGGCCGACCAGTGCTTCCAAGTTTTCCATGGTGGTTTAGCTTCAATCGACTTATGAATTAAGGTATTAAATTACATGAACGTGTGTTAAATTCATTCGTCTCAAAGAAATATCAGCTAAAGAACATCTGAATATTAATCATTTCTTCTCAATGAATTCGTCTTTTTTGGCATTTTATCTATGTCGCAATTACTTTATTCATTTCAAGTTGAAATTAATAATTAATTAAACGAATATTATTTCATTGCTTTTTATGATCCAACTAAAGATATATAACACGAATTTCTTACATAACCATTTGATAACCAACTAGAATTAGTGAAATGATACATTTTTATTAATTAAATTGGATAATGCTTATGTTTGAAGTCAAAATATGCTTAAAATGGAACTTAGAGGTAGATAATTAGTTTTAGTGTGTTCACAGGGAAACTCGTAGAAACTGAGATTAATTTTGTTGGAAACTAAGACTATTAACTCAAATATAAATCAGATTTTCATTTATTATTCTTCAATTTACGTTGTGTCTATCGAGGTAAAATTCACTATAGGAAAAAATTAATTTCAACCGACTTCATTTTATAGACAACAGAATTACGTATATACTTCTGTACAAAAAATATGGTATGAAATTCTGTAAACATCTAATATTAGTTGTGGAAGATTTCAGAAGAGACTATATCATTTTCATAGTTTGAAATGGATGGAATTTGAGTATTATCAATATTATATTTTAATTCTGTTGTTGTAAGTTTTTAATAGTGAGTGAATTATCAAATACATGTAACCACTCTGTTTGGATGAACGTACATTGATACTTGGTTGCTAAGTTATGTTAATGGTATTCACAACGACTAAGGTAGTCCTTCCTCCATAGATGGACGTCCGACTTAATCACAAGATTATTTTAACTACGGATTGATACTAAGTAGGGAATCATTAAAACTAGAAAACATTGGACAACTGGTTCACCAAAAAATGAAACTTAACAACATAACAAGCTATCACTATAAACAGGACCTTTGAAAGTGATAGCTAATATGTTTACTCTAGATCATAATGCTGGAATATAGAAGTTCATAGATCACTCAGTTTACGTAATAGCCCTATGATTATCCAATATTTATATGCAATCGTAATCTTTGTTTGATGATGAATGATTTAAATCAATAAAACTAATGTAATCGTAAAAGTGGGATTAAATCGCATACTTACAACTACTCATTATAAAACTATGATCTCAACCAAGATTGTATTGCAGATTAAATATGCTTTAATCACTTTTTTATGTATTTACAAGATCATGTGAAATTTAATAACAAAGTAATTTACTATTTACTATCCCAATAGTCGGATCTACTGTATCCTGATCGGTTATAGATCTGAGTTCTTTTTGTTTCAAAGAAGTGAAATATCTGCTGTTATTTATTGACAGAAAGTATCAATTATTAGAGTCAATCAAAATCGACTAGCTGATAGTTAGTGGAACAACTATCCGCTGGATTAAGTATGTAACTTTTCTGTTAATAAAGCTACCATTTAACTTAACTAGTGAATTTAAAAAAAGAATGACAAATGTACACAACGTTTGTTTACTTAATTAGGCTTATAAGCGAATTAGTTTGTCTTGTTTTTGTAAAGAAAGCCTAATGAATTCATTATTTTGCAAACTATAATTCTAGCGATAATAAAATACTATCCGCTACAGTCTAGACTTCATCAGTAGAATTAAACTTACTCAATTCGAACTAGGTTCTATCTGTTAGAGACTATCAAACTTTAAGATAACAATTACTACTACTGTTACGATCACTATTCGTATTACTACTGATTAAGATAGTAATATAGTCTTCGAAATGTTAGTTTTATTTTTAATCACCAATTCTAAATCATTTAACATATATACATAATATTTCCTGTTATTTTGTAAATAATATGTATTAAATAACATATCTATTGTTGTTCAAATCAGTACTCTATTTGATGCATTGTATTCAATATAATAGTAGCATTAATGTACTACAATCATCATGATCATAATAAATAATGCTATGATCATTTCACAATAGGAAAGTAATAATAATAATAATAAAATGATAATGATCAGTGTTTGACTATTTTCACTTCTGTATAAAACAGAATACCCATTATATACGATAACATGTAATTGTAAACAATCACTTGCAAACAAAAAAACGAAAAAACACAACTGTGAATGCATTCCATGTGTAAATCATGGACAAATAATATTGTATTTGACTAACATAGAAACATTCCATTAAAGAAAACTTACTACGTATATACGTATACATTGATGATAGCTTGAATTCATTACCTTAACAGTAGATCTGTACTGTTAAACAATTTGACATTCGATGTGTATTAATACTCTCAGAATTAATGAATTGTTTTTACTTTTTTTTGGTATTCATTCCCATTATTAATATTTAATAGAGAGAGAGAGATAGTTTATGAAAAATGCTCATTATTCTTTATCCATATCATGCATAATACTAACCAATTAGAGATCTCATACCTTTTACAATATAAGTATACACATGAAAATAATTCGGGATAAAAATGAATTTCATATGGTAGTTATAGTAGTTGTTGTATATTTGCATAGTTTAATATTGACTTGATTAGAGAAAAATCAAAAAAAACAAACAAACAAGAGAAACCAACCACACATCAAAAATAAAAAAACAGTCCATTTTTCAGTCGGTGAAAATTTAAAAAAAATTCTACTCATAATGCAATGGTTAACTATGATTTTTTATTTATTTTTAATGTTCTCAATAAACTGGTTAATAAGTGATACATTGGAGTTAGATAATATAATCAAAGATCAATATGATGGTAAGTTAATTAAAAAATAGTAATAATAAGTAAGAAACATTATTTGTATTTATCATTTCGCTATTTGTTTTTTTTTGTTGCTTTTTTATTTGTTTGGTTATTTGTAAATAAACTTGACAATGATTACTGTAAGAACTAAATATTATTATCTATGCATTTACTATACTCTATACTACATGTAAAGGTATAATATTGTTAGAATTGATAACTGAACTATTGACTGTTTGCTTTTTTGAAGAAAAAAATAACAGGAAAATAATCATTAAGCATTCTAACAATTTCAAATCAAGACATTTAATTCATTAAAGAGGAAGAATATATTTGTTGTATAATCTAAACAAAATAAATGATTCGATCATTTTAAATGTTTGATTCTGTTATCTTTGAAATAGTTTAGATCAGATTACTAGGTGAATTGTTGAATTCATTTTAAATTTATTTGCTGAAATTTTTTGAAAAAAAAAAAAACTAAAATACATTTTTCCTCTTTAATGTCTCATATCAACAAGGCGCCCAAATATTGTGAAACTATTTGATTAAGACTGATAATCAATGAGAATAATAACAATAATAAAAAACTTGTTATTACTATGAAACATTTATCATTAGAAACTCATTTAAAAGATTATGAAATTTTCAGTTCATTAAAAAGTAAGAATACATAAGTAATTAAAGAGAGAGTTGATTTGTTTGCTAAAAATAACCGATGCGCATTTTTGAGGAGTTCGACAATAGGATGAAACAAGCAACCAGTGCTTCCAGATTTTCCATGATGATCTAGTTTCAACTGAATCATGATATCAACTATTAAAGTTACTACAATATTCACAAAACCTCTTCTGATAATAATAAATTTTGTTAAGAAATAAACCAATTTTTTGACAGGAAATCGTCACTTATGAAACAATATAACTTTGTTTGTTTTTCGAATTATAATACAGCTATTTGTGTATATGATGTACTATTGGGATGTATTTTTCTTATCTTCAGTGATGACTATCAGTCGACAAAAACTATCTGGTTTATATTCGTTCACAATTAAAACTTATTAGAATAGCTTATCTGTGAATATAAAAAAAATCGGTTGCTTTGTTCATTGCTGAAAATGGACATCAACATTGTTAAAACTAATCCACAGATAACTTTCTATACGAACAAAATGATTTTATTAATCAATCACTTAAGTGTAAAAGGTATCATAATGTTTAGTCTCCATTATAAGGTATTGAAAACGTTAGGTTTTGATAAGAAATGTATATTATCTTGTTTTTTAGTAAACCACCTTATAATGACTCGGTGGTGAGTGCTACTTATATCGACATAAATTGAATATGATGTTAGTCAGGAACACAATGTCATTTAAAATTTTAATTTTTATCATAATTTGCTCTAATCTGATATTTACTTAACATTATTCCTATTTCTATTTATTTTATTGTTATGAATGGTTTGTTTTCCATGTTAAATCATTATTTATATTACTAATCACTTCATTTTATTTTCTTGATAATAATGGTTATCCGAGTAACTATTGTGGTGTGTGCTACTTATGTCGACATAAGTAGTATGTCACGTTAGTCGTGAACAGAATGTCTGGCAGTAGAGAGCCTAAAGGATCGAACAGTGAAGAATGGAAACAGAATGCAATTTGTATGAAAATACAAGAACAATGAAGTGTGAGTCATTTTAAGACAATTCATGAACATTTTGTAAATTAAGCCGGTACTATATGATTGTTAAGTTTTACTAACAAGTCCTGTAATTTTGTCTCAAATACATTCGATTGTTCTCCACCCGTGTTCGTGTTCACTACAACTCTTGTAAGTTTTATAAAGGTGAAAATAGATCCCAAACTAGACAATGAGAACCTATTTGTTCAACATATAATATTTAAGGTAAGCGTAAACTTCAAATAAGATGACGAGTGGTTTGAAATAAGAATTTTAAAAAATATTATATGTTATCAAGTAATGAGATATTGGATGAACAAAAGTCATTCTATACTACTGTTTAAATTTAAGTATTTAAATATTTTAGATATTATTTTTATCACATTCTGATGATAAATATGGAACTATCTAAAATTACGAAGTAGTTCGTGTGTATGTTCAGGTGTCGTTCATCAATGTGTACTATGAAAAAAGATTTTCTTGAGCTCACACACATCAGATTATTTGAATGGGAGAATTAATTGTATTTCATTACAAAATTACAGAGTTCTTTAGTTAAATGTGAAAAACATACCATAATATTTCAATTGAAAATCTTCCATCATCTGTCTTAAACATCATCGTTCCTTCATTACCATAAAAATACTCTCTATTCTTGTTTTCTGTGATTCCACTTTCCAATCGACTGATGTCAGGCATTCTACTTCTGATTGATGTTGTATACTATTCATATCGATATAAGTAGCGTACATCACACCAGTACTTATTTTGTCGCCATTCACCTTAAATATACTCAGATATTTTGCATTGTTTGATAGAATCAAATATATTTTTGTTTGTCATTAAGGATAGAGGTTACTAGGAAGCATAAAATTATTAAAACAAAACCACTAAAACCATAGTAAACAATAGTCTTATCATATTTCCAATTTACGTGGTGACATTCCGGATATCCAAAGATTATATCATTATAGTGACATCATGATTTGGTATTGTTTAACTGATACAAGTAACATACCAAGTCGTAGTTTGCTAAGAAATAGACAATTCACCTGTATAAATAATTTTTTATATTAATGAAATAGTATTCAATTTAAAAAGAATAGATTTATAGATTTTTTTACATTTTCATAAATTTTGCTGCTGGTTAAAATATTGATGTATTTCAAATGTTTATTAAAAGAAAGAATGAATGAATCCGAGTTAGTACTGTGGTGTGGGTTACTTATATCCACACAAGTAATATATAACGGTGGTCAGGCATAGAATGTATTTCAGTAGAAGGTCGATGAGGAAAGAACGGCAACGAAACGCGATCGGTATGAAAATGTATGAACAATGAAATCTGAAACGATAGATTGATGTTTGCAACAGGAACAGTCAAGTTTGAGATGATGGATTGATATATTGCAAATTAACAGTTTAAAATATGATTCTCAGATTCTATTGAGATGCTCAGTAATTTTGTGCTCAAATGTATTTGATTGTCCCCGCTCGTTTACTGTTTACTACAATACCATCTAAACATAGATACTCTTTAAATAAAGAGATTGAAATTAGTTTATTTTTATTAGGTTTTGGATTGAGATCATGAACCAATTGATGTTAGACCACCATTGAAAACCTGGAAGCACTGGACGACCATTTCGTCTCATTGTAGGACTCAGTAACGCACATCCACGATCCCGCTTGCAGTATTCGAACTCAAGTCCTTTAGTCTCGCATGCGAACCCTTAACCTCCAGACCACTATGTCTGCATTCAACGGTGTTAATGTCTAACCTCGACCAATTATATACTGATAATTATTTTTATTAGTCTGAAAGTTTACGAAGTTTCAGTTTAAAGATAGTGTTCATAATCCAAAAATGTTAGCTGAACAACTATTGATGTTTATACAAAGATTCATATATTATTACAACATGGAACTTCTTTCATTTTTCAATTGGTTACTAATTTTCATGAATTTTCAAATAATAAATATTATGCCTTATGATCAGAACATTTTTAAAGATTTGAAAACAAAGGGAATAAAAGATATTAGAAAATTCGACTAAGAATAGTGTAGTGAACAAGAACACGGGTGGGGAACAATCGAATGTATTTGAGACAAAATTACAGGATTTGTTAGTAAAACATAACAATCAAATAGTACCGGCTTAATTTACAAAATATTCATGAATTGTCTAAAATACTTAAATACTTAAATTTAAACAGTAGTATAGAATGACTTTTGTTCATCCAATATCTCATTACTTGATAACATATAATATTTTTTAAAATTCTTATTTCAAACCACTCGTCATCTTATTTGAAGTTTACGCTTACCTTAAATATTATATGTTGAACAAATAGGTTCTCATTGTCTAGTTTGGGATCTATTTTCACCTTTATAAAACTTACAAGAGTTGTAGTGAACACGAACACGGGTGGAGAACAATCGAATGTATTTGAGACAAAATTACAGGACTTGTTAGTAAAACTTAATAATCATATAGTACCGGCTTAATTTACAAAATGTTCATGAATTGTCTTAAAATGACTCAGACTTCATTGTTCTTGTATTTTCATACAAATTGCATTCTGTTTCCATTCTTCACTGTTCGATCCTTTAGGCTCTCTACTGCCAGACATTCTGTTCACGACTAACGTGACATACTACTTATGTCGACATAAGTAGCACACACCACAATAGTTACTCGGATAACCATTATTATCAAGAAAATAAAATGAAGTGATTAGTAATATAAATAATGATTTAACATGGAAAACAAACCATTCATAACAATAAAATAAATAGAAATAGGAATAATGTTAAGTAAATATCAGATTAGAGCAAATTATGATAAAAATTAAAATTTTAATTAAAAGAATTACGTAACAAAGTTTTATCATATAGAAATAACTCTAATCTAAAATTCTAATTGAATAATAAGACTACCGTATAAACTCTATTTCATCATTTGATTATTTGAAATTTTTAAACACACCAGTAAGACCATAATTTATGAACAAACCAATCAGATATAAAATAACAGGTCTCGAATTTTGAAGCGAAATTCACTCACCCATTTGACTAAATAGAATTTTTGCATTATAGCTTATCATCAGACGGGGTTTTGTGGAGATTTTACGAATTTCACTGGTTGAAATCCTGAGTCAATTCAAGTTAAACAACCATGGAAAACCTGGAAGCACTGAACAGCCGTTTCGTCCTTGTATGGGACTCTTCAGCGGTGCGCATCCACTCTCCCACCCCTCGTGAGATTTGAACCTAAGACCTATCAGTCTTGCGCCAGGTGCTTAATCCTTAGACCACTGAGCCGGCACC